ACACACACACACAGACACACACACACACAGAGACACAGACACACACAGAGACACACACACACAGAGACACACACACACAGACACACACACACACACACACAGACAGACACACACAGACACACACACACACAGACACACAGACACACACACACACACACCTCGCTCTTCTGCCTCCCGCTGCAGCAGAGGGGGCTTGTCCTGCCAGCAGGAACGTTTTGTCCTGATTTCCCGAGGTCCTGGTAATTCAGGTAACGTGAGTCATAGTGGCAAACATGATTCAAGAAGAAAATAAATGGTTGCTGAGAAATGAACAGGCATGGCGAATTTCTGAGGTACTGTTTTTACCTATTGTTAGTGTAGAATTATTCACCCTGTTGGGGACTGGGACAATTGACTTGGCTCCAATTTGTGTCTCCTCTTGATGTTGAGGATCATCAAGCCTATGGTCTGAACTTTCTTTTGTGATGAGTAACTAACCAAGCTGTTATCTTTTTGCCTTTTATTCTAAGTTAAAAGGCTGCTCTTTAAAATAAACATGACAGAATATCAGACCCTGACTTAATATCACTGTGTGGAGCCGTAGTTTGCTGTAATTAATTTCAAAATAAATTAATGAGAAGAAAGAAAAGCTAAGTACATTTTGTGATTGGTGTTATTGTCAGCTTTCAGTTCCTTTTTCTGGGAATGAAAGCTGTTAAGTAATGTTCATGGAAGGAATATTCAATATTTGTTACTTTAATTGCAGTACAAGAACAAAGACAATTTATGTATGAAAATTTTAGCTGTATGCTAATGCCAGTTGTACCTTAAGAAGCACAAATTCTCTTTTCCCATATCTGTTTGGAGGATGAGTGAACTTCATGCATGAGCTTTTCAATAATTTATTAGGACTGGGATGTTGAATTATTGTAGGATTTATTAGGAAAATAATAACACTTTTTTAGCATTCTGTCACCCTTCTTCAGTCATTGAATTCATTAGTTCCGTGCACAAATATCCTTTAGCTGTGATCTTGCACTTGCTCTTGTTTCTCACGTGGTCTCATTTCTCTCGGCTGTGTGTCAGCATGAGTATTCTGCATACTAAGAGATGTTCATGGACAGAGTACTTGGGTGGAAAAGTGGCCATGCTGGCCTGTATTTTTTTTTTGTCTCAAAATATTTTTATTTGTAACATTGAAAGTGAGGAAGTTCTTTCATGAAACTGGATGTATGCACAAGAGTCAAAATCTGACACAAAGAAAATGGTAAGGCACAAAATTGTAGATTGATTCAGTGTGTTCCCTCACGAGTAAACTGTTCCTGTTATTTGTAATGGGAAGATGAACAATCAAACGTGCCTTTTGTCAGTGATTGGCACAAACTTGACTCGTTATTCTGACAAGAACTCAGCATGTCAGTCAATGGGGAAGAGACGTATGGAAGTTGATTGAAATTGATTGTAAATGCCAGCTCCTTGACAAAATGATGTGCTAGGACCACAGTTAGTCACCTCTAGGTAGAGAGTGGTAATTGCAGAGGTTTTCCAAAGAGCTGCACTGCAGGTGTTATTTTCTCTGTGCTTTTTCTATTTAGCTCTGATAGAACCATCAGTTGTAATTTTCTGTCTCTAGGGATTATTGAATGGCTGGGTTATTGAACACTTTCCCATCTTAGCTAAGGGTTAATGAACAAAACTCTAATGTCTGATATGTTAAGGGGTTTAGGCAGTTGAGTTTTGATCCCTGCCACCTTGTGTTAGCATTTCAAATAATATTTGGCAAAGGAGTATAATTTTGTTTTAAATATAATTTTCTGAATTGTACATTAACTTGCTTTCCAGTGTGTCCATTCTTTTGTTAAAAGCAGTCATGTCAGGAGAACAGACAGAAAGAAAAAGGAAATGTCTCTAGTTCAGATTCTCCTAAAAATAGTTACTGGGATTCCTAATTTAAATGAGTCTTCCTCATCTGAAGTTTTCTTCAGAAGTGAGATCACAACAAGTCGGGCATAAAAACTAGGGCAGCTTTTGAAAAACAAAGAAAACTAGGATACCAAAAGGAAGAAGCCTGTTTTTAAATGCTTTAGTGATGATGAAAACCGAGTTATCCTGAAAACCATAAATCATTCTTTTTTTTTTGAAGAAATGAGCATTTTCACAAAGAGTCATTAGAACCAAATTTATATCTGAAGGTTCATGAAGATTGATTTAGCAGTCTCTTTGCTTAAAATTTGGGAATCAATCTGGCTATGACAGTTGCTGCTGTAGAACTATTGGCATCACCTGTAAAGGGGACACACTTGGCACCTGTGAATGCTTCCCTTACCTGGGCACCCAGGAGGGAAATTTGGGTCTAACAGTCCTGGGTAGAGTGTGTCCTTTGAGAGCAGACTGCTCTGAACACTTGCACTATGCATGTGGCTTCACTCTGCAAAACTTTAGACTGCTGTTCAATTGCAGCATGGGATTCACACCTTTTAGCTTTCCTTTCAGGGTCACAGCTCAGACTTTCACTGGCCAAGTACAAAAAGAGCTGAAATGCCACAGCAGAAAGTTATTTTATCAGCGTTTAGCATTGATCTGGTTTGTAATGTAGAATGCTTTTATAGGGGATACTTGATTTGTGTGAGATCGTAACAGTCCAGCTGTTCTCTTTAATTGATGGATTTACTGTCCTTCTCTGGAATTGGAATTTAGACATGAAGCTGCATGGGGACTGTGATAATTCTGATCATAATTGACCAAGCTGTTTGCTGCTGTGGCCCTGATGCACGTTGCCCTCTTCATGGTGGCAGTGGTCCCAAGCTGGGTGACTTTGCTGTGAAGTGAATGAGGAATGATCCAGTCTGTTGGTTCATTTGTGTAGGCACATAGCTTTAGCAGAAGGGTCAAAACTTCAGACAAGAAATTTGTAGTAGGAGCTCCCAATTTCCTGGGAAAATCGTGCATATTTCATGTGTGCTTGAAGAATATTTTCCTGAAATAGATTTTTTCAGTTTGTTGATTCAGTACAGTCATACAGTACTGCATCTAATCTGTTCATGCAGTCCTCCAGCAAGTTGAAGAGTTCACCTTTGTGCCCACAAAAAATGTGAAGGCTTAATTGAAATCTGTGCTTACTTTGTTCTTGTGATGAACTGGATGCTAGTAAATGTCTCCAGCTCTTGAAGTGAGTCATGAGGACGTCTAGTAACACAAATACTGTAGCTACGCTGCACAATGGCAGTAGTGAAAATATTTTCTATTGAATTACAGGTTATTTAGTTGAGGATATATTGTTTATGATCCTATTCCCTCTCTTTAGTTTGGATAAAGAGGCTACTTTCTCTTAAAATGAATTTATTGTTTGTTATTTTGTTTGTAATTATATATGATACTTCTGATGAAAGCGAAATGCATCATCTTTTTAATGTATTGATATTTTTTCAGTGTATGTGAATACTGGTTTTACTTCTGTGTTGTACCTTGCATTTATTTGCTGCTTAAATATTGATTTAATTAATTTTTAATCTCCCTCCTTCTCTCGAATTACAGCCAAGTGTATCTATGGAGGCAAAGTGCTAGCAGAAGGTCAACGAGTATTAACCAAGAGCTGCAGGGAATGTCGAGTAAGTTTCAGTTGTATAAACCTTTCCTGATTTTAAATGTATCTGTGGTGTTCAGAAGTGACAGTGAAAGTTAGTGCATTTCTTTAGGCTTCCTTCATGCAAATGTGACATCTGTTGTCTTGAAAAAGGTGACCTTGAAGTCACTGAGAGCCACAAATACGAAAACAAGGCAGGAATATGACCCTTGCAGGATAAGAAAAATATGAGCAAAACGATTTGGAAGAATGTTTTCTCTTATCTCTGCTTTCACGAGCTTTAGAAAAAAGTAAGAGTCTCTTGAACAAATTACTTATTTCAGCCAAATTGCTAAAATTTGAAGCAACCTCCTTGTTATATTGTATGAGTTACTCTGTATTTCCCCTAGTATTGTTCAAACTATATATCGCTCTTCTGATAATTGAGGTAAATTAGAGAGTACTGGAGTGGATGGAGTTCTTTCATGGCAAATTCCTGACATTTGGACCATGACAGTCAGTATTGAAGAACACAGGTGAATGGAGGCTGTGTTAGATCCCTTCAGGGAATGTTGGTGAGTGTGCATTGGAAAAGATTGCAGTGATCTGGTTATTATTGTGCTTGGAGCTGAGTGTAGAGAGTAGCAATTTTATGTTCACTAATGGAAATGGACAATAACTGGTTGCAGTTGTTGTGAAAACAGCTTGTTATGCAGAATTACTTAGCTATTGTTACTGTTGAGCTGTATGGGGTGCTCAGCACTGTGTCTACAAATATGTGGGGAAGGTCGTTGCCTTGGAAGGCAGACTGAGATGCCTGTTATTTATAATGTAACATAGAATGTTTATTTGAGAGTGGAAGTACATGTATAAAATAAGAACAGGAGTATTTTCATGTTAAAGTGAAACCAGAGAGGATGATCTGAATTATGTCTGTGGAACTTCTCTGTGCTATAAATAAGCGTTACATACATCATTAGGAGTATGATAATACATTCATGAAGATTAGAAGCAAATAGCAACCATCAAATATCTGTCATTAAGAATGAGTAAAGTAATGAAAACAGCTTTTGTATTTTGCTTATTGTTACAAGGAAAATGATAAGGCAGTGTTAATTACAGTAACATTGCAGTTGGTATTTGCATCTTAATTGACAGTATTGATAAATATTCAAAATGGCATCTGTGAATGAGACACCATAAAAAATGTTTGATGCACGCCTTCAGAAAAACTCCAACAAACTGAAGTTCTTTCCACAACTGTGCTTCAACAAGATATTAAACCTCACTGGCCTGGGGAGAGTTTTTAAGAGGGTGCTTGCATCTGTTTCTGTGGGCTGGTGTATCTCCATGCAGGAGGTTCACTCAGCATGTTCTCAGCCTGACCTCCTGATCTGAGCTGCTGCTCTGCTGCCTCACTTAGGAATGCTCACAGAGGGAGGATGAATGGTCATGAGTCAAACTGTGGCTGTGGCTTTGCTTTCTGTCCTGTGTGGACAAGATGTTGTATAAATAAAGGAGGGACTTTGTCATAGGGGAGGATTTAATTTAATATGGTTTAATTTTCCAGACTTGAAAAACTGACATCAGGTTTCAAAAGCTGCTGATCCATGAAGGAATACAGTGGAGGGTACACATCTATTGTCAGTGTAATAGTGTTGATAAAAATGACTTGAAAATTTTTGTGTCTGTAAAGAAGGATATATTTATAAGTGGGGTTATTCAAAAAGCTTAAGTTGAATTTCCACCTTTCAATTTTTATTTGAAGACAGATTTCTTATTCTGTGCACAGGTACTGATCCAAACTTGAGGCTTTTAACTTGTATTGTTTTTCCATCGTAAAAAGGAGTAATACTACTACTGATGGATCCAGCTAGATCAAAGATTTTCTTTATCAGGCTGAGAGACATTTTTTTTTTTAAATTTTCAAAACTAATCCAGATTAAAAATATTTATGATGCACATCCTCTTAACCATAGGCACAGATGTTATTCATGAACAACCATTCCCAGCTGGAATCCTGCCCACAAACAATGGCAAAATGAGCACACAGGTATTTTTAGCAATCACAGAACAGTTCAGGTTGGAAGGGACCTCTGGAAGTCACCTTGTCCAGCTGTCCTGCTTGAGCAGGGTCACCTGGCACCAGTTTCCCAGGGCCATGTCCACATGGCTTTTGAATATCTCCAAGGATGGAGACTCCAGAGCTTCCCTGGGCAGCCTCACCCTGCAGGAGTGTTTCCTGATGTTCAGATGGGCCCTGCTGTGTTCCAGTTTGTGCCCATGGGCCCTGGTCCTGTCACTGGGCACTGCTGAGAGCAGCCTGGCTCCATCCTCGTGGCATTTTCCCTTTGGGTATTTATGTGTGTCTGTAGGATCCCCTCTGAGTCTTCTCCTCTCCAGGCCCAGCTCTCTCAGCCTTTCCTCCTGTGAGATTCCAGTCTTTTATTTATCCCCATGGTCCATGGCTGATCTCTCCCCAGCTGTTCCATCTCTCTCTTGTGCTGTGAAGGCCATAAAATACAAATGTGTATGAGCTTCTGATAACTGCACCTTTCTGCATTCAATAAGTGTTTGATTTTTTTGTTTGTTGATTTATTTGGGGTTTTTTTTTGAGTTTCACCAGTATGGTGATATTCACCATTTTCCATGTCAGTGGAAAGATTTTAATAACTTTTGTTGGAGTGGGAATTTGCAGTTGATCAGCTGCCTGTGAATGACATGATGCCTGTTCATAACAGACGACATGCTTGACAGCAAAGGGTACAAAAATAAATGCCTGTTCATTAATGCTGGGAGCAGGCAGTCACAGTGTGCCATACAAGATGGACAGTTTTCAGGAAGGTTGACTAAAAGTTTTTTTGTGAAGATAAGGAACGATGTGCTTCTTAAGAGTGACAGCTAAGGCTGCTGTTTGAAACTGTCCTAAGAGACTGTTCAGTAGTCTCTTATTATTGTGGCTTAGGAATGATGTTCCCAGATGTGGTGCTCTCACTGAAGCCACTTCCCTGTGGGGGATGGAGAGGAGAATTGGAGGCACAAAGACCACGGGTTGAGATAAGAACAGTGGAATCAGCAAGGAATAAGAAAATGAACAGTAACAGCAGCAATACTAATGGCCAAGGGTACAGGGGAGAGGTGATTGACTCACAGGGAACAGCAATACCCAACTGCTCCCTCTCCACCCCAGCAGCCCCAGCTGAGAGTGAGGTGGTGCAGAGTAACCTCCTGTCCTGGCCATGCCCCTCCTGCTTACTGCAGAGATCAACCCTATCTTGTCTGCAACCAGAGCACAGATAAATTCAGACAGGAAGAAAACCCCCACCAAAATAGCCTTGTCTCAAATCTCACTATTAATTTTCAAAGCTGATCATGTGAAATGAGCTGTTTGTTGTTCAGATTTTCACTACATGTCACTGATTAGGCTTACATCCAATCCTTTTTTTTATGTACTTACCTTGGTAATTACAAGAAATTTAATTATCTTGTTGTAAATTTCTGACTCCAGATATCATTCTTTATGGATTGTATGTCACAACTGAATCTTGATATATTTATTCCAGAAAAAAATGTCTTTTTGACATCTATTTCTGTTCACATTCTATGACTGCTACATATGTGAATTGAATATAAAAAGGAGCAATTTTTCTAAGGCTGCCTGAAGCAATAATTCTGAAGTGTGAACTCTTCTTACTTATCTCAGTGGATAAAATCTGAAATCTGATGATGATAATTCTTATAATTGAATCTGTAGCAGTTTATAACAAATTAATTTTAACCCAAAGAGTACTCAACATGGAGATGTTTTAATTGTTTTAAAATTTAATTACAAATAAGTTGAATTTGTTTTCCCAAGATGAAAATTCTGCAGAAAATAGAAAACTTAAGGAAGTAAAATCTTAGTATCGTTAAATTAATGGAATTCTCAATTTGTAGTCTTTAATCTCCTTGTGAGTCACTAAAGAAGCAGTGAGCTTGGAATAAATTTGTCTTTAGCTTTTTGACTCATCCTGACACTCATTTGACTTTGACACCATTTCTTGCCATATTTCTCTGGCCAGATTTATTGTCAGTCAACACTTTTTGTCTGTATGCTGACATACTTTACTCTTTCTGCTGTAATTGTCCTGTCTGAGCTTAAACAGGCCATGAGTTACAGCCAGAGCTTTTCTAGCTGGTTGTTTGATTACATGATAGTAAGTGATGCCTCAATGTCTGGTTCTTTTATCACCTTTGATCCTGCAGTTGCACAGACAACCATGGGGGATTCCTCCCTTTCCCCTGTGGAAGTGAGATCAGGAGGAGACCTAATGCCTCCATTAACTTCCCTGTTCTTCTGGGCACTTGCTCTGATGATGTGAACCCCTTGTGCTGCTGTAGGCAGCTGCGTTTTCTTACAAAAAAAAATTAAGAAAAGCAGATGCCTGTGAGGTTTTTCTGGCATTGTTTTTCAGGACAGCAACTGATGCAACTTGCCAGTGAAGGCAATTGGTCCTTCCTAGCCTTAAACTGTAATGTCGAGGGCAGTGATGGGCAGTGATTACAGAATGGTCAGATTTGCATTCCCTGGCTCAGCTGCACTTCTCAGCTGTGACTCCTGCAAGCTGCCGGGCACCCCAGGCACATCATTTGTGCCTCAGCAGGCAGCTCCTCAGTCTGTAGGGCAGCTCGATGTTGTGAGAGCTGCTTGTGGAGCCTGGAGGGACACAGCTGCATTGCTGTGCTCAGGGCAAGTGGCTGATGAGCAGCAAAGGTTTGACCTGTGCACCTGAGCCAGTGCTGTGCTGTGGCACAGAGCTGTGTAAATATGAAAGGCAGCTTCTGCACTGAGGTGTTCCTTCATACAGGGTGGACTCACAGGTAATTTCAATATCCTCTGTTCCAAGTCACGTTTTCTGGTCCCTCAGATTATGAGAATGATGCCTTTAATGAGGCTGTGTCTATTTTTTGGTATTGGTTTTCCTCTGGTTTCCTAGCCCTAGATATGTTTGGATCATATTTTTAAACTTGTCTCTGCAGCCTTGATAGCTGGAAAATGAAATTTCTTCGTTTGAGGAAAGCAGAAATTCTTATTCCACCTTTTTGTTCTGCCATCTGAGATGTCATGAAAAATATTCTGGAAGGAGTGGGGGCTAGACTGATGGTAAAAAGGTGTTTTGGCAGCATAGCAGGCTGCCTGCTTTCTTAGAGGAGTTTCATAGCTTGGAAAATGAGATTACTGAGGTGTGGGCAGTCCTATGGGGTAGTTACTGTAGTTCCTACTGAGCAAAAATCCGAGTTGTTAATTTCTGCTCCACTTGCCAGTTCTCAGTGATGGCATAGCTGCAGAAAGGGTGCTGAACAAATAAATTATGATCTGAAGAAGGCAGGAGCGGGGTAAGGTAAAAGAGGAGGCTGTTTTGGGACAAGATTTTAAGAAACAATGAACTAAAAAGCTGGAGAGCTGTTTGGTCTGGAGACATAGAGAGGCTGATCTGCTGCATGGGAAGAGGATGGAGTAAGATTTGGTGCAAAAAATCTTCCCATGAAGGCTCTGTGTCTATGATTATAGAAAGTTTCTACCAGCATCTAGACCTCCTATCACAGTCTTATTCTAAATCTAGAAATCCAAATCATAGCAATGTCTTTAGCTTGGTTTTACAGAGCAGTTTTATAGGGATCTCTCAAGATGAGTTTTCTTCTCTGAAGGACCTAACTTTGGAAATAAGGTGATCAGTAGTTCTAAAGAACAGGCTCTTGTAATTGGACATGACAGAACAACACAACATTTGAAAATACTGGTCTTGCTGTGTACATTTGACTTGAATAACTTTTCAGTGAAGTATGTGGACTGTGAAATAAGAGGAATAAAGTTCAGATTTGCAGAAAGCAGGAAGACTGTCTTTAACCTGGAATTAAATTCTTTAATTCCTTCAAATATTCAAAAAGAAGACAGCTGTACTTTGAGACTACATATTTGGTAAAACTAGAATAGAATTTTGAGCTGAAGTGCCTTGTCTTTTAATAATTGCTTTTATGCTGGGCAGAGAAATCCACAGTATATTACTCTAGGTTTGATGTTATGGTGGAATAAATGAATTTAACTTGCTTCTTGCTAGTTTACTAGTGTTGTTACTGGAGATTACTAGTGCTGTGGATGGAAAAGTATGTGATCCTTGCCACTGCATTTGTTTTCATCAATGTAATTTTTAAAAAATGTTGTTTATTTTCAGAATGGAGTTTTAGTAAAAGTAACAGAGACTTGTCCACCACTGAACTGCTCAGAAAAAGATCACGTTCTTCCAGAGAACCAGTGTTGCAGTGTTTGTAGAGGTAAGCCAGCTTGAAAGGAATAAAAGTTGTGGGTTCAAGAGGGGGATACATTGAAAGGAACAATTCCTTTTTAATGAGATATTAAGTACCTCTATAAGCATGATTCTAAAACCAGTCTGTGATACTCCCTTGGTTAGAAGACTTACCAGATATAAAGCTGTAATTGCTCTGAATTAGGCAGGAGGAGGAAGAAAAGGAAGAGCTGGGGGAGAAAGGAACCAATATCTGCTAAGAATTCCTATTAAAAGGATGTTGTATTTGAAAAAGAAATATATATTTTGTTACTTAAACTTGCAACTGCAGGGTTTTGAAAGTGCTTTTTTAAGGTCTCTGTTTTAAAATCAAAAAAATAGCATTAAGATTCTAGTTTGATGGATATTAGGAGGTTGATTTAGATCTGATCACTCTCAGGACTAATTTATGAGTTAAGCTGGACAATAAAATAAAACCAATTCAAAACAAAAATTAAAAAGTTAATGCTAGAGTCCAGAACCTCATTTTTCCTCCTTCCAGTGGATGCTGAAATGCAGGTTCTTCTTCCTTTCAGCCCTGTGAGTCCTGGTTGTAGGCTGGACCAGACTGAACAGGCAATAACTAAAATCTTAATTGAGGAAATGCCCTTAAAGGAAGAACCTGCAGGTATCACAAGGTTAAGAAACTTGAATAAACTTGCTTTTTAAAACGTGTTCTAATCAGTGAATTGCTGTGTGAATAATCATTCCCTGGGTATTGTACCTCTGTCCCTCATCTCTCCCTTGGTGCTGACTCTCAGCTGAGCTTAAGGGCAGCCTGTTCTCTCAGGACTCTCATGTCAGCCTTTAGTGATGCACTTGAGAAGTTCAAGCAAGGGGTGTGCCAGATGAGCATTAGACACTTGCAGCTTTGGATGTTATTGAGGTCTGTTGGAATATGTCTTGCCTGTGTGTGTAAATTCCTCCAGTGCCATTGCAGATGGTGATGAAGGGGCTCTGAATCTCTCCGTCTGCCAGTAAATATTAATTAGTAAATATGCATGGTTAAATATTTACTTAGGCCTTGAACTTAAAATCACATGCTTGTGGTTGCAGGAACCAGCATGTTTGAGACTCCCTGTTGGGGAGTCATGGTCTAAGAATATACACATTAATTTTTTTTTGTAGTTTCTAGAAACATCTGCAGCTATTTAGGCAAGCAGTAAATGTTACTTCTCTGTCCCTCAGAGGGCTCGATGTCTTAATGATACTTCTTAACAGATGGCCCAGTTTGATGTAGTGCAGTACTGAAAAAAATACATTCATTACTTAAAAGGATTAGAAATATGAAAGCTTCAAAGTTGATGGAAGATAAGTTCCATAATTATTCACTTCCATATTATTGTTAGTGATAGTGACTCTTTTTAGATATTCATCCCCAAACTGGCTTCATTATTTATAATATAAGATGAATATGTATATTTCTGTGATGATCTCTAGAAGCAAGGGAAGGAATTGTATTTTCCCTTCCTAGGAATTCTGGTACATGATGCTTTCAGTTTGACACATTAAACTTTCATTTCAGTTCTGCTTTAGCTGACTGCTAAAATAGTACCTCCTCCTTTTGTATTTCATCATGGCTTTTTAAAATTCTTTTGAAAATGATGCCTAAAGATGTGATTAATTTTGTCAACTGTACAAAGGCATAAACTCAATTTAGCACTCCTAAGTTGCTTTTTATATCTTGAAGTAGAATATATGCTGCATGACACTTTTGCTTCAGTTGCATGCAACCCATGCCACTGAAAGTGGTAGTATATAATTTTGTCACGTGCTGTTGCTAAAAGTGGGTATTTATTAAGAATTCCATCAATGGTATAGGTTTTAGCAAGCAAACAGCTGCTCTCTGATATGGCGAGCAGGCCACAGTTTCTGATCCTGTCCTGTGCCAACATATTCTTTACTGGGAAAGGATAGATTGCTTCTCTTGTTTGCAAAACTGACTTCTTTCAGAGACTATATTCAGCTTCTTTTTTGTCTAAGCCAAAGTAGTAAGGAAGACATATTGTAATAATTGCTGTCCTGAATAAGCAAAATTATTTCTTGGAAGGCCACATGGATCATTTGCACATCATATGCAAATTTCACATTATATCTATGATGATGCACATAATTTATTGCATTTGCCCTTAGCGAAGCCTTAAGTTATTCAACAGAATATTTAGGAAGGTTTTACTGGCAATGTTAAATAAGAACATTATTTCTGTGCTAAGTTTATCAGTGCATGTTACTGACTGCTAGATTCTTTGCTTTACAGCAGTTTGTGTTGTTTTTATTATTTGTAGCTGTGGAAACAGAAGACTTCCACTGAATTTCATGTTCTGTAGAATTATGGAATATATTTGCTGAATTGGGCAAGGGTGACAGGTTTGCATCTCGTGGTTTTCTAGCTGCAGCAAAGGAATTTCCATTTAATGAAAGGATAAATATGAGGAGATCAACAGAAGGAAAGAAAACCACAGAGAAACACAAAATCTTCCATGATGGTGTGGTATGAGACTGTACCCTCCTCAGCAATCTCTGTAGTACTTACCACAATAATAGCAGAGTGCCATAGGTTATGCAGGGTAAAACATAAATCTGTGGTGTTTATGGAGATGGAAATTGTGAGTTAGCAAAGAGGAGTGGAATACTGTTATGTGCAGAGCTGGTGGGCTTCCTAGATAGCCACTGCTGTTTGTAAATGGTAGGAAAAATAAAGGCAGCAGATAATGGCTGCTCTTCTTCAGGCTTGCTACATGAGTTTATGGTATAGCAGAAGATAATATCATATTGCTAAGAGGCAATTTCTACATTTCACAGAAGTGGTTGTGTGAGGAGTCCAGCAAGGTGAGAGTAGCATGGAACTCTGCTTTAAAATGATAGTTTATTTTTGTGATTTCATGTACTGAATGCATAAATGGACCTCACCACATGTGTATGTGGGATCTATCCTTGACTGTTATGCAGAGTATATCCAGTTTTTGCTTTCATCTCTGTGCTTTAATATAAATGTCTACTTAAACTATGTGGCCACTTCATACTTTCCAGTAGGACAATGTGATCTTATTAAACTGTCTTTCAGGCTTACAGAAAATTTAGTTAATTTCAAGTTTCACAGAGAATCGTGTCACAAAATACATTTTTTACTACTTTTGAGAATCATTTATTCTTTTTGCAGCATGCCTGCTACATTTTTTATAGCCCAGGGACAAAACTAATACAAAAAACAGTGTCATGAAAGTGTTTTATTGCTCCCTTTAGCTGTTTTTCTCCTTGCCAAAGACAGTGTATAATTTTAAAAGAGAAGATTTTTTTTTTCTCTTTTGCATGAGTGATTTAAATAAAATTTCATGAGATAATTTTTATGTTGTTATGCTCACAATTTTAAATATGTAAAAATAGCCTTAACAGCCTTTGCAACTTCAGACGTTCTCCTCTGAAAAGAAAGAGTGTGATGAAATAATGAAGTAGTGAGAGTGGTTTTGTTTCTAGAGAAATTAATTATTGGCTGTCCTGCAGTACGGTGGGACTGTTGGATTTACATTTCTGGCTGACACTTGTTAGGAGGAAAGAGAATCTTATTGATGAGGTGAGGTGTACATTTTACAGCAGGGAGCAGCATTTAAATCTAAAACTGGGGCTTTTGCCACCCTTCTCAGTGCTGCTTTGTTTTGTTTTGGGAAGGTTTTTAGTCTTTCAGTTAGAGGGTGAGAAGGCTCTTCAGCTGTGCATGTTTCTCCTCTCTTCCTGCCTGGCTGTGAAACTGAGATTTAACTTTTCAGAAATTGAGTTTTTCCCATTTATTGCTGTGAGGTAGGAGGTTTTAGATTTATTAAGATTTAATGGCAGCTGATAAATATGAATTCGTTTATTTCTAAACACAGTTGTAACATTACTTAGGATTTAGAGGAGCTTTCTGTTTGAAAAAAAAGAAGAAATCTTTTTAAGCTTGTTAGCTTGTGTAGTTGCCATTATTGTACTGCACACAGATAAGCACTGTGTAAGAAGCTCTGCATTTACAGAGCAGTTGAAAGAATGTATGAAGCTGCTGTTTTATGTCAGACCACTAAGTTCTGGCACCACAGTCTCTGAAGGTGTAAAAGCTGCTGTTCAAAGTGTTGCTTTGCACATGACTCATTAAAAACTGATTCAGATCATGGAAAGGCATAATTGGTAATGCAAATTTTAACACTTTTCTATGACTTCTTCCTCAGATTTACCTTACATATTTATATTGTAACTGTGGGGTTAAATCCTGCCAGTAGAAAAGATTTTTGAGGTTGAAACTACCTTGCACTTTTGAACATTGCTAGTGCTCTTTAACAGAGGCATTATGACAGTTTTTGTTTTTATATTAAGAAATCTCCAAATGTGAATCAGTGCAATGAAGGCTATCTTGAACAGCAAGGTTTTATGGTTTTTGATGTGAACAGCTAAGGCTGTTGTAAGAAATACAGGAAACTACAGAAGTTAGAAGGAAACCCTCAGAAACAAGGAGAGGTGCATTAGTGTTGGCCATAAAAAGGTAGAAAGAGATATGGATCTAAAATGTATTGATTGCAGCTCTAGTCTTGAATGAGTTCTTGCATTTTACAATCTATAATTAAGCCAAATTACCAGATATGTTAGGTATGCAAAAAACTGGATGACAGCACAGAACAGCTTAGTGTGCTGCTCTGCAAAAGCAGGTTCTGAGAACCACAGCTTGGAAGATGCTGCTTGGAAAAAGAAGAGAAATATTCAGGTGTTCCCATAATGGAATAAATTTTTAATTTGAGCTACCTGACCTGGGGCCACTGAGTCCTAGCCAGTTGTGCAGTTCCTGATGCTGCAGAAAGATAATTTTATGGCTGCTAGCATGTGTCTGGTTCTTTTCCTAATTCTTAGTACATTTATTAGTGGTCATTGTATAGTCAGAATGATGGAGTAGGAAGAAACCTGTATTTCTTAAGAAAAAGATGCAGCAAGCATTTCAGCAGCCTTTATAAAGAGAGTAGTGTTATCAGAAATGTTTGGGGAATGAACAGAGGTCATCAGGCCCATCAAAAACCTAAACACACTCTTCAATATTTAATTCCCCTGGTAGTATCTAATTGTGTTTTGAATGACTTTGAAGGGCTGTTGTGCACATTTATGATTGTGTGTGTATGCACAGGGAAAATAATTTCTGGCATCTGTTCTGAATGCATTCATCTGTAATTTTAATTCATACTTGCCTTGTCATCTGTGCTGGCCTGAAATTTAAGATTATCAGAACTATTTAAGATTTTCTGTGGTTTTGTTAAATCCCCTCCAATTGCCTGCTTGCTGAGATGTGATGACTCCATTTTAAGCATTCTTATATTTAGAGAGGAGCTGACTCTGAGATAAGACTTGGCTGAATATTCTGAGTGAATTGTTATTTTGGCTGAGCAGTGGGGATGCCCTCTGCTATCTCCCACCCCTCTGAGATTTAGAGATCCCACTGCAGTGTCAGTGGGTGGTTTTGGCATCCCTGTAGGTATCTTTAAGGAAATCTATGATCCATTTCACACCAAAGAATTAATAAAAATCAGATATTTGGCTCCAAAACTCCAGCTGGGGAGAATGGACACCAATGTCTAAGAAATCCAAGAACCCACACATCCTTGATATGCATCTTTTGGCTCTTTTGAGGTACTAATTTTGCATTTTAGCTGCTGCTGCAAAAGAAGTACCTCTGGAAAAACATCTGATCCAAACAATGGTGTACTTTTTCTGACAGAGGCACAGAGAACTCTTGCTCTTCTGTTCTATCAAGTACATTTTTTCCCTGCTGGTTAACCTTAAATTACAGTTGTTTTGTAAAAGCTTGACAACATAAAATGTTGTAGCACCATGCGTGCTCTTAGCAGGAATGGCTTCCACTATCTCACTTACAGAGGTATTGACCAAGTTTGCTGAAATGCTGTGGGAAAGTAAAGTGGAGTCACTTCTAGACTTTATCAGATAGGAAACAGTGTTCCACAGGTGTTTTGTAATAATAAATGCCATGACAGTTTAGAGATACAGTCGATTGTGTATTCCTAATGGCAGGAGAAAAGTGAAATGTCCTTTAGAGCCTTTGTTTTCTCAAGTTACAGAACTGGAATTGCTTTTAAAATTTACTTTAAAAATTAAATCTTGAAATTAATAATTAAATTATTAAAACTATCATTAAATATAAAATATATATTAAAATACTTATTTTAAAATTTAATTTAATGTCCTTTTCATAGCCTTCAAATTTGAAAACCTGATACTGGATGAAGACTGTTCAAAGTGAACAAAAGCAATGCAGGTTTCTGAAGATAATTTTTAAAAGAACAGGTGACAGTTCTAATGGCAAGAAATGGATAGGTAGCCATCATATCTGCAGATAAATTTCATAGGCAAATGAACAATGAAGGATTCACAGGGCTGTGATGAGATATTGAAAATTAATCATGGCTTGTGCTGGGGAAAATGTGCTGTTGGAGTGGTTGGTCTGGGACCTGGGGCTTGTGGTGAGAGTTAACTCTCAGAAGCCATCGATGTGGCTAAGTCTTAAATTTGCCAAGAGCTGATCATAAGGTAAAATCTTGACTCATTGGGATAAAAAGAGCCTAGAAACAGAGAATTTTGTTGCAAAAACTTGTACCAGCACTCGTGTAACTAAAACATCCTGAGAAATATGAAATATTTTTTTACAGATTTGGGTGAGAGGGAAATAGAACTAAATATAAACAGAGTATTTTCAGAGTATATTTTAATACTGCCTAGCTTAATACATGGCTGTGTTAGAGGTTCTGACCCAATGATAATCAAATCAAGCTCATACTGTGTATGAGCTCAAAGGAGAATTATTATTCTAAAGAAGCAGGAAACAGACTAGGATGTCATAGTCTTGGGGAAACAGTGACAAAGAAAATATTCTAAAACTTACTGTCTCTTGGATGTTATCTGGATGCCAGTAGAATAGTAATCCTGTGTGGGGAGCATAAATTAGATGCTGAATGGATAAGTTTGAGGAGATGGGTTCCAGTGTTCAGTTTCAATTATATTTATAAATGCAAAAATGAGAAGTCAAATACTGTGGTTGCATAAATGGCTAAAGGCAGTGTATTGGCACTCTGCTTTAGCAGTGTAAAATGTACCTGGGCTTGACAAGGCTGCCTCTGGAATACTTGAGTTGTTTTTACCAGACTGTGAAATGAATAAAGACTAGAAGGAATAACTGAAGTTTTCATTAAGGAAATTGGTTCTTTTTCACAAGATGGATTACAATGAAAGAAGGAGCCAGCTGAGCACAAGGAAGATACCTTGACTGTTAATAAAATTAATTTGAACTTTAAGTGTAGAATTGGATGTTGACACTGCTAACAAGTGTTAACATTTAAAAAAATTACCTCAGAACTCAATATTAGATGATCAGACACACAAATTTGGAGTGCACTAAATTGTCACAGCCTGAGTGTTAAATTAGTGGACAACTAAAGTGTGTATGTAAAAAATACATTAAAATAGGATATCAAAGCAAGGGATATGAACAGAGACCTGAATGTGGCATTTAGATGTTGGAAGTCCAGGCTGTGTTTTTCTTTGCTGCTTTTAGGGGATGTTAGAAAGTTTAGGATCAATGATCTAGAACTTGTAGTTTGCTCCTTTATGACCAGACAGAATTGGCAGAAACTGTTCTGGGATTCAGATAAGCATAAGTTGGAATACCAATAGATGATGTCTGGGTTTCTGCTTTTCCTCCTTCCAGGACAGAAAATGGAGACAAAATAGGATTTACCAAAATGACTGCTTATATATCTCAGGCAAATAGAAATTGACTCTTGGATATTAATAGAGAAAATCCATGAAACACAGATCAGTGGAAGGAGGAAAAAAAAATTCTGTTGTCAAAGTGTTTAAGTTATTTCTTAACTTCCAGTGGAGTGCCTTTAGAGATGAAGTTACAATTACTTTCACTTCAGACTTAAGCAGAGAAAGATGTTGACATGTCTCTGAGAAATACTGAAAATCAGAAAGAAAGAACTTCAGTGATTTGTACCTTTACAGAAGGAGGTGGGAAAGTTCATCCTATTTCTAGAAATGCTTGTACGGAATAAAAGAAACTTTACAAAGAAGCTACTGTGGATTTGTGTGAAGGAAAAAGGAGAGATAATAAAAATTGTTCTTGATAAAACATGATGCATGGAATAGTTATAAACTGTAGAAACAATCGAGCTGGTTTTTGATGACAGAATTACAAGGCAGTGTATGAGGTTGCTTTGACTACTGGTACAATTTTGTGCAATGTCTCATTTTGGTCTACTAAAACCACACGTGGCTATGCATAATAAGAGAATTTTGAAGGCTTTTTTTTATATTGTACTTCATTGTCCTTTTGATGTAAGTTAGCATTGCACTTCCTGACAATCAGAGACTTAATGCTACATGGGTTCAGTAGGACACTAATGAATTGTCACTGCTTCCTGCTTTGGAGTTGTCTTTTCTCCTGAAGGAAACTAGTCATACAAATACCTTTTCAAAGAAAATGGTTTTTCTGAGAATGAATTGATGGAGAAATCCAAAAAGCCTGTGTTCACCAACTAGGTTTATAGAGAGAACTTGGAATGTAAAATGCCAAATTTTTTGAGTGAAGCAGTCAATGCAAATACCTGAGTATCTGATGTAAACACATTTTAAAACCCTGTTGCATGTTCCTTGTGTTTTAGGCCATAACTTCTGTGCAGAAGGACACAGATGTGGTGAAAATTCAGAGTGCAAAAACTGGAACACAAAAGCCACTTGTGAATGCAAGAACGGTTATCTGTCTGTCCAAGGGGACTCTGCATACTGTGAAGGTAAACAAAATATCCAAAGACCCATTCCCTGAACAACTTATTCAAAAACATAATATGAAATAAATGGTAGATGAATGAATTTAATTGCAGAGTTCAGTTCCGTGGTGGTGGATGTCACAGGGACCCTTTCTGTGTTCATAAACTGGGGTTGAAGGTTACAAGTGTTGCTGGGCCACCCTGTCTGTGGCACATTGCCTGGCTGCAGTTGTGTCTTTGCACACCATGGTCATGCTGTCACGACAAATTTTAAAACACTGGTTTTCAGACAATAGCACCTACCTTTTAAAGTGTTTTTTGAGAGAGCAGAGTCTTTATAAGGTGCATTAATTTAGGAAGTGGGAATTCTGCAGGCATTTGTGAGAACGGTAAGTGTGAAGGAACACTGAGGCTCGGGTATAAAAATGATGACCTGCACACACTTCTGTGGGACAGGGATTTACTGAAATGGTTTTCCTGGGGTACATAAGAGACCTATTTCTGAGAAGATTGTAGCTGAGCTAGTTCTGTTCATGTGCTATGCCACCTCAGGAATAAATGCAGTGGGGTATTATTCTCCTTTTTGTTTCTCAGTCTTTTCTAGAGCTTGTTATTCATAGCTGTGATGTACTTGTTAAAAAATAAATTGATGATTCAATATATACCACGTTCCTTCCTGCCTTTGCATTGTGGGTTGAGTTTTTTTAATTATTCTTGTATGTCAGGCTGCAATATTGAATCTTTTGACCATCATAGGAAGTTTTTGAACTACTCTGTAAAAAATATTTCCCTAGATTGTTTTTGCAACAGTACTGGTGATGGAAGAGGATGGAGTTTTTGACAAGTTGAAATATAGCATAAGAATTGAAATACTGAGGACTAAGGATGAAAGAATAAAAAAAGACATGCGTGGATTGTGCTGAAATGATCCTGCATTCATAAAAGGACTTTTTAGTGTATGCAAGTGAACAGGATGGCTTTAAATAGCAGTTTATAAATGTGATCAGTAAAGTGCAGCTTTAAATCTTATGGTATTTAGTCATTTCTCTACAAATAATAATTTGAATGGTCCTTTATATTCACTCTCAGTGACTGGAAAAACAGTTCCCACGTGTGTTCTTAAAGGTAGGCAGCAGATATATTGTGTATAGAGAGAAACTTTTTTGTACAAAGAACTGAACAACTGCTTTATACATGCTACAAGGACTTTTGAGACATCAGAAGGCAGGCTGTTTATCAGCTATGATACATAATCCAGTATTAGCTGGGTTCTTTTTTGCTGTTTTAAATAATGACAATGCTTCGTATTTCTATTTACCTAGACACAGACTGTCTCTTTTTTTCTTCTATGGAAAAAATTAAACATCTTGACCCAAGCAATTTTGGGAGATATTGGCAGTACATTAATGGTAGAGATGGTGGAAAAAAGAGCTTTTTAAAAGAAATTAGCAGGACTTGTAACATACTTGGGTCTATGTTGCATAAATTTTTGGAAGGTCAAATTAAATCCCTGATTTCTATATGTGTGGGTAAAACATGAGAACTAACAGCTGCTTTTTCTGCCTGTGACTGTGGGATAGAAGAGAGTGTTGCTTTCTGCATTTTATAGGATTATATTATATGTGCTAGGAGGAGTGCAGCTCTCTGGAGGTAACACAGAAGAGAGGCCCTTGACTAAGGGGAGTTACACACTGACAAATTGATTAGCCAAGAGGTGACTCCTTTCAGCCCTGTGAAGAGCTTCCTTTTTCTCCTCAGAGCAGCTTTCTGCAAAATTTCTTTTTATGCCTCTCTAACCTCATTCCTCTCATCTACGTGCTTAATCTGCTAAAGAGAATCATTTCATAGTTGGGTGTACAATAGTCTCCAATGCATGGTGAAGCTGTGGTTTAAACTAATGAGAACAAAGGCATGTGTCTGAAGGTAGAGTTTAGCAAGAAGTTGAAATAGTATAGGGGTGGATTTTCTCTTTTACTGTTTTGAATTTCTGTGTGTAAGAATTAAATACTCAAAACACCCGAGCAACAAATTCTAACCATACAAAACACCTGTGGAAACAAGGAAGGGCTCATGCTTAGCTGTGTTTCTGAATTTGTCTTTGCTAAGCCTTTAAACTCAAGACATGTAAAATTACTGTTTTCCTTTGAGATGGAAGGTTAGATTATTTCAGACTCATGGTATGGGCAGGTAAATGGCAACCCTAGTTTAGAGTGCTCCAGATCATTAATTTGAAGCTTTCCATATTTCTCAACTCCTCCAGTGTACTTGAAGTAGTTGTGCATGTGAATTGTGATGTACAGTATTATGTTACCTTACCTATGATTTTACTGTTATTTCTGCTTGCTCTTACTCACACTTTTATCCTGCTGGAGTTTGGCATCATTTTCATTTTGTAAGATCTCTGAAGTATTGTGTTTGAGTCTGCTCTGCTTTTTGGTATGTAATTTATCTCTTTTTTAAACTTTGTATATTCACATTAAAAGTACAGTGGAAAAAATAATTTAAAAGATTCTAACTTTTATCAGGGAATTGGCATCAACAAATTTGAAAAATAAATAAGAAAAACCTGAGAGGCTTTCACTATTCATTCTCAGCAACTACTTTTCAAGTGCTTAGAAGCTTCTTATGTCAAGATGTACATATAAGATAACTACTCACTCTACACATTCCATTTTTGAAATAACAGATGTATCCAGGGAAGACAGTTTCTGAAAGCAAACAAGTAAATGAAGCTTGTGATGAATAAAGAGATAAGTGGAGATTCTCCGTGTTACATAAAAGCAATGTATTTTACTTAAAAACAGAAAAGTTGGGCTTTTTTCTGAGCACTAGGGGTTGCACGTGTGTTAGTGCCCCATGGGGCAGCAGCTTGTGGCAAAACCAGGACCAAAGTGGGGAATCCATTTGTCTGACACTGATTGTTCCAGATGTGTTGTGTGATGTGTGCAGCTGACTTGCAAATGCTTACACACTTGTGCATCCTTCCTCAGAGCTGAAAAACTCTGCAGTGTGTGACTACTTTGTGAATAAGAGGACAACAGAACTAGCAGAGAGGAAATTATCAGCACATGGAGAGTCTGAAGCTCAGAGATGATAAAGGAAAATCAAGGCTCATCAGCTGAAAGCCAGGCTTGTTGCTAGCTGGCATGCTGATGCTTGCTTTTTAGATGCTAACAGGCATCTAGCAGGCCATCTCTTCTGAAAAGAATTTCTGCTATCTATTTCACAGTGAAAGGGAAAAGAATAATATTTCTCTGCCACATTTCAGCTTCCCATTCTTTATTGCCTTCTTCACTTGAAACATTTACAGCCCCTTTCTACCTGCAAAGTTATGTTGGTACAAAAGTGATTTTTACCTTGTTGCTATTGAGATCTGATCCATTGTGAGCACTGCTGAAATCTGAAATGGGATAGAAAGCACAGGACAATTGCATGCTGCTTCTCACTGACAAGAGTGTGTGGAACAAGAAAATCAATATTAGCATTAGCCATCCTTTATGTCCCCAAGAAGCATCTCATAGAGGAGGTGCAGTGGCAAAGCACAGGGTGTCTTGTCATGTTACACAGCATGTGCTCAAGTGGTCTGTGGTGACAGATGTCATGTGAGAAAAGATCCATGGACTCAAGTGGACCTGCAAGATGAATATTCTCATTTTAGGACTGTATTGTATTCTTTCCCTGTGTAGCTAAGTTTGCTCTCTAGGATGATTCTTGTATGACCTGACCCTCCCCTTAGTGCTGTTACATCAGTGTAAATAGTGATGAATGGAATAACTTAATATTTGTGGAAATTAATTCAGTTTTTGAACTTGACAGAATGCTCTAGAAGCACACGTGAATTTCAGAAGGAACATGACTCAGTTGCTCTTTCCCTTCTGTGCTCTGAAAGTGTTATTTAATGTGTTGTTAACAAATTATTGCTCATTTCAAAAAAAGTCACATAAGCTCTGAAATGCTAGCCAAATTCAGAAAATCTGCCTACTTAGTGCTCTGAGAAAGAGTTATGATAATTTTACTGTGCTTGGCAGATTTTGGGAAGATGAAAAAAAGATGAATGAAAACTTAGGAAGAAAACTGGGTGCTTATTTTCCACTGAGAATGGATCCAAGCACGGAGGCCTGGCAGAATGTCTGCCTGGTGTGCTTGCAGTCTCAGGACTTTGTTGCTAGCTACTGTAAAAATAAAACCATATTTAATTTCCTTGTAATTTGCAAATACATTCCAGACACATACAGTGGTCTGTCTTAATTGCTTTCAGTTTCTTTTCCTTTCAACTTAATACCACATGTAGTCAGGAAATTCTTTACAGAAATATAGGTAAATATCTAGAAAATATCTGTTCTGAGGATACATTAGTGTAAGTTTTGTTAGAAAATGTTTATTTTCTGAAAGTTGCTTAGAAAAAAATTACGACACTCAGAAGAAGATGGTTTTTTTCCCCCATTATTGCAGAAATCAGGAAAAATTAATCCTTTTAGATTAATGATTTAGTTCCAAATGCAAAGACATAACTATCAGCATCCTTTAGTGAGAAAAAAAAGTGGAACTTTCATCATAAAGTGGGGCCTCTGTTATGGTTTTGAAGATGAGAGAGCTTCATAAAGCTTACCTAATATTTAATCCTTTGACTCATCACATTCTATGCAGAAATAACTGTTTGGTGTGCAGAACTTTTCTCAAGCCATTTGAACTTAAAAAGAATAAACCCAGTCCTGCATGTGGGCCTCAGAGTAGAAGTCTGCTGGCAATCCACTGAGTTTTCACAGCTGGTGTTTTTCTTGCTCTATAAAATAAGGTGAATTTTGTTGAGTTTTCCCCTCGTCCTCTGTGGTGATTTCACTGCAGCTGTTCTAATTTCACCACGCTGTGGCTTGGGAGGTGACATTAACATTATGTGGTACCATATAAACCTTCTGTGTGGCAGTGATGTACAACTGTGCTTTTGGATGGTGTCCATTGCCTTGACTCCTGGGTCAGCTTTTAAAGATAATCCTTCTGCTTGCTGTGCTCTCAGAAAAGCTGCA